ACTATCATCAGTCTTGGTATCATCATATTTGAACTATTTGGCCAGTTAATAAGTTAAGGTATTTGGTTATTTGATTTAAGGTACTCAATTAATTACTGATATTTGATCATTTAAAGGTGAACATAATTGAAGACATTTTAAATAAAGTTTAAATATTTCATAATCTGAAAGTTACATGATCAATTAATCGATAACAGTGTTGTTAGTTAAAAGTAACCAGTGACAGTTTTGCCTCTAGATAGGGCAATTTATTTTGTTTTGCACTTTATTTCATTGTTTTGAGTAAAACAGTTTTCCTTTTATGTTATTCCTTTTTCCCCTAAAACAAATTTCTGTTCCTTAACTCATCTTTCTCACTAAAATATCTATAAAATTCATGTGGTATTGTCTGCCTCAGTTATTTTAAAATACAAGTTGGTTGCACACAAATTCATAGTTGGAGTAATTTATCTTAAAACATCAGGGATCCTATAAAGAACTCATAGTCACCCTTTTATCTAGGGTAATAAGGGCTACATAGATGGAGGCACCGCTGGGATTGGGATGTTTGCGCTATGGGCAGAGCGAGAGTTGAGAAGCTACTTAAAGGGGCAGTAGATGCTGACTTGATGTTAATCCAGCTGCAGCTGAGGGATAAAAAGGACAACCCTCCTACATTCCTGCAACTGCTGCGCGACATTTGCACAAAAAAAGGAGTATGAAGCCTCTATAGCTAAGCTAAACCAGTCTGTGTGCTCAGTCTTCGTCAAACCACAGGCTGAAAGCAAGTCAGAAATACAAACACTAAGAGCTGAAATCAAAGAAATGAAGTCAATGTTTGCCACACTGGCAACAAAACACCGACCAGTCACTGAAGAAAGGGTTCAGTCACCCGTTGCCCCAGTACAAGACACAGAGAGTAGTCAAGACCCTGAAGTAATTGCCCTCAGGAAAGAAGTGAGGCAGTTAACACAGAAAATGAACTCCAAAACGTTCACTGCAGCTGTGGCCTCATCAGCAGTGATGACTGTTGGCAGCCCCAGCCCTGCACCCTGCACCAGTCCTGTGCCCAATACCCGTCCTGCACCTAACACCTCAACCCAGTTTTTCAAGTTTTGGGATCAATAATGTCTATCTATCTATCTATCTATCTATCTATCTATCTATCTAACCAGAAAATCAACCAGAAGAATGGACACATTGCCTCAAAGTGCTCTAAGGCTGAGAATCCAAACAAAGTGATCCAGCAGCTCATTGGAGCTCTAAAGAAAGCTAAAACTAATGGCTCCCAGACCGCCAGTGTTGGGGCTGAAGTCCGGAAGAGTACACTGGATTTCCACAAGACAACAGACCTACCATACCAGAAGGCTTGATAGGGCCCCCGTCCATGGAGCCGCTAAAAGTCAATGACCACCTGTGTGACGCTCTGTTGGACAGTGGCTCACGTGTCAGTATAATCTTCGAATCCTGGTACAGGCAGTATCTGTCCAATGTCCCGATACACCCCATGAGCAAGTTGGATATTTGGGGTCTAAGTGACTCTAGCTACCCCTACCTTGGCTATGCTGTGGTCGAAATAGAGTTCCCAAAGAAAGTGGCCGGAGCTCCGACCACCATGTCAGTCCTGGCGTTGATTTGCCCTGATCCCGCAGGTCCCGACAAGATACCTGTGATCCTGGGGACCAATGCTAAGGCCAGAAGTTGTTGGATGCCGGCATCATTAAGGAATCCACAAGTCCATACGCTTCCCTGAAAGTGGTGGTCAGGAAAAAAAAATGGAACAATAAGGATGTGCATAGACTACCGCACACTCAAAAGTCGCACAATTCCTGATCAGTACACCACTCCACGGATAGATGAGGCTCTGGACTGCCTAACAGGAAGCAAGTGGTTCTCCATCTTAGACTTAAGAAGCGGCTACTACCAGATTGCCATGAAGGAGGAGGACAAAGAAAAAACGGCCTTCATCTGTCCTCTGGGCTATTATGAGTTTGAGAGAATGCCTCAAGGGATCACTGGAGCACCTGCAACTTTCCAAAGATTGATGGAAAAGGCAGTTGGAGATATGAACCTCATCCAAGTCCTCGTATACCTGGACAATCTGATCATTTTTGGAAAGACACTAGAAGAACACGTGGCAAGACTCCTGAAAGTCCTGTACCGGCTCAGGGAAGTTGGGCTCAAGATTTCCCTCGACAAATGCTGTTTCTGTCAGGCCAGAGTCAAGTATGTGGGTCATATTGTGTCGGCAGATGGTGTCGCCATGGACCCCAGCAAGATTGAGGCTGTTGCCACCTGGCCTAGACCCACCAACCTGAAGACACTAAAATCGTTCCTGGGATTCTGTGGGTATTACCGCCGGTTCATCCACAACTACTCAGCCGTGGTCCGTCCCCTGATGGAACTGACAAAAGGGTACGCTCCCCTGCAGAAGAGCAGGAAGCCAAAGAAGGAGACAACTGATCAAGTTTACCTGGATGAGCGTGAACCATTCGAGGAGAGGTGGGATCAAGCGTGTACTGACGCATTTGAAAGCATCAAGCATCGTCTCACTAACGCTCCAGTTTTGGCCTTCGCAGATCCAAGCAAACCATATGTGCTGCACATAGACGCCAGTCTTGCAGAACTTGGCGCAGTTCTGTATCAAGAACACCCAGAAGGACTCAGACCAGTGGCTTTCACCAGCCGAAAACTGTCGTCTTCTGAAAGGAACTACCCCATACATCAGCTCGAGTTCCTGTCCCTCAAGTGGGCCATTGTGGAGAATTTCCACGATTACCTGTATGGAGCTCGCTTCACGGTCTGAACCAACAATAACCCACTGACCTATGTACTCACCACATCTAAGCCGAATGCCCATGGATATCGGTGGCTGTCAGATCTCTCAGTGTACAACTTCGATATCATATACAGACCAGGAAAGAACAACATAGATGCAGATCTGCTGTTGAGGCTGGAACCCAGAGAAGACTGGGAAAATATATCCCAGTCTGGCATCAAGTCTATATGCCAGCAGGTCGGTGTCCTTGGATCCCCTCAAGCCTCTCCAAGATATGTAGAGTAGCTTGGAGCATCACCTGAGTGTGTACCAGATGTGTATGCCTTCCCTGCATGGGTACAGCTGAACACACTGAGCCATTTGTGCCGACAAGACCTAGTCCTGGCTCAAAGTCAAGATCCTGTGATTGGACCGACCATCCATGCCGTGTAGCAAGGGAAGTGGCCAGACGATGTGGGGTCTAATCCTGAGATCTCAGCCATAAAAAGACAGATGGGAATGTTTGTCATGGAGGATGACTTACTGCACCGTCTTAGCTGAAGCCAGCCTAGAGAACAAAGTCGTCAGCTTGTCCTGCCATCTGAGTTCAGACCAGTAGTGCTAAGGTCCCTTCATGATGACCTCAGCCACTTGGGAGCCGAGAGGACTACTGACGTGATAAGAAATCGGTTCTTCTGGCCCAAGATTGCTGCCAGTGTTGCTGCCAAAAATTGGGGGGAGTGCATCATTTGCTAGTGACAGGAGTCACAGGCTGGAGAGGACGCTGGCGTTGACTGTTCGCCGCTTCTCCATACCTGTTGACACTAAACCCCCACAAATTATACAAATTCCACCCTCCACAGCTAGGTTGTTGTTCCACTAAACTCTGGGTTCTTGATTTTCCCCCGGATTGTGTCCTTGGTACTGCACAACCCCCCCGGGAGTCGTCTGTGTGGTGCCTCGCAAGCCTGGTGCTGCTAGACTGCAGCTAGCCCCTGTTATATCGACCTCTTGCCGTCTAGCCAACCTCCCTGGCTTCTGCATGTCATCTGCCCTCAAACGGATGTCTGCATGTGGGCTGCCATCTCTGTGGAGGCTCTGGACATTTCTGGGCTGTGCGGCTGCCATCCATCGTCACTCGCCGGGATCCTGGCTAATGGCTAACACCAACACTCCAGGCTACTCCACCATCATCTCCACACCGCTTTGGAGCTTCCATCACATCAGCACTCCCTCTGGTCAACTCCAACTACCTCACCGACCTCGCTACATCCACAGAGGATCTGGTCGCCGAAACACGACGATCCTGGTAACTCTCACCGACCCATTACATCCCTCTGGTCGATTGGTCGCACAACAATGGCATCATCAGAACACCACTACTACAATCACTAAAGACAGGAGCATGTATGGCCGGATGGATAGAAAACCCGGAGTGGACTACAGCGTCCTGCGCCCCCTAAACGGACTGGACTCCGCAAGCCATTCCACACTGGAATTACTCAACGTTCAGTCACTGACAAACAAAGCCGGACTCATCAACGACCACATCACAGACAAACAAATTGACATTCTCTGTCTTACAGAGACCTGGCAACAGCCTGAGGTCTACTCCGCCCTCAATGAGGCCTGTCCCCCTGGGTACAGCTACCTCAGCAAGGCCCGGACTACCGGTCGGGGGGGTGGCCTCGCTGTTTTTCACCGCAGCACCATTCAAATATCTCTACTGTCTGCCCCACCCTTCAACACTTTTGAACATCTGGTTTTTAATTGCAAACACATCACATCGCATAACACCACCTCTGCAACCATAGCACTCATTTATCGCCCCCCCAAACCACATCCATCATTCCTCTCTGAAATTCATGACTTTCTCATCTCACTTTGCACCTCACACTCAAACGTTCTGGTTCTGGGGGACTTCAACATTCACATGGACTCACTCTCCTGCAAACTGGCTGCTGAGTTCAAACAGGTTCTGGACTGCCTCAATCTCCACCAATCCGTTGTTGGACCCACCCACACAAAGGGCCACACACTGGACCTGGTCATCACAGATTCCATCCACATCTCAGACCTTCACGTCCAGGACATTGGCATTTCAGACCATTATGCAGTCACCTTCAGGACCCCTCTACCCTCCCCCCTCACCAAACCACAGCGCCTTATATCATTCAGAAATTTCAAGAACATTGACTCCACCTCCCTCAGTCAGCATCTCTAGCTCCTCTCTCCTCCTCCAAACACATCACTTACTGATCTCATGAACTACTACAACCACAATCTTCACTCTATCCTTGACTTTCATGCTCCTCTGAAAACCAGGACAGTCACCTTCACCCGTTCCGCCCCCTGGTTCACAGAGGAGCTGAGACTACTAAAAAGGACTGGCCGAGTCCTGGAGCGGGCCTATGTCACATCTGGGCTGACAGTGCATAAGTTGGCCTACCAGGAACATCGTCGGAGATATGCCCATGAACTCTCCAAGGCCAGGTCAGCACACTACTCCAACATCATTAACAATAACCCAGGTAACTCCAAACAACTCTTCACCACAGTTAAACACCTTCTCAAACCTCAGACCTCACCACACCATAACCAAACAGTCACCCAGTGCAACGAATTCATGGATTCTTTTTACCTCAAAAATACACAATATCCGCGCATCTCTCTCCTATGCCAACAGTTCTATCCCGTCAAGTGACATTGCTCCCACCACACAACACCTGTCTCAATTCACCCCCACAGTGCAGCAGGAGGTCGAAAAAATAATCAGTGAATCCAAACCGTCCACATGCTCTCGACCCCTTTCCCTCCCCTCTGCTTAAAGCTCACTGTCATTCCATCAGTCAACTAATAACAAACATAATAAATCTCTCTCTTCAAACCGGCCATGTTCCAGTCAGCCTCAAAACAGCTATCATCAAGCCCCTCCTCAAAAAACCCACTCTTGATCCTAGCTCCCTGTCAAACTACAGACCTATCTCCAATCTCCCCTTCATCTCCAAAACTCTCGAAAGAATTGTATCCATCCAACTTCACAACCATCTTAAATCAAACAGTCTATATGAAAAATTCCAATCTGGCTTTCGTCCCTCCCACAGCACCGAGACAGCTCTCATCAGAGTCACCAATGACCTCCTGATGACCTCTGACTCCAGCTCCACGTCCCTCCTCATCCTTCTCGACCTCTGCTGCATTTGATACTGTTGATCACCACATCCTCCTTCATCGCCTCCATCACGACATTGGTATCTCTGGCACCACCCTTCAATGGTTTCACTCCTACCTCACGGGAAGGACCGAGTTCGTGGCCCTGGGGGATGCTAAATCCCGCCCTCACACTGTTGTCTGTGGGGTCCCCCAGGGCTCCGTGCTCGGTCCAACCCTCTTCACCATCTACATGCTCCCCCTTGGTCGTGTCGTCAGCAAGCATGGAATACAATTCCATTGCTATGCTGACGACACACAACTCTACCTCAAGATCACCCCCTCCTCCACTCCCCCCTCCTCTGTCACCCAACTGGACTCCTGCCTGGAGGAGATAAAGGTTTGGATGAGTGAAAACTTTTTACAGCTGAACAGCTCCAAAACAAAAGCCATTCACATCGGTACTCCCCACCAGCTCCGTTCTACCCACTTCTCATCCGTCTCTTTTCTCGGCCACAACTTTTCCCTCTCTCCTTCTGTGACTAACTTGGGAGTCAGGTTTGACCCCCATCTTAGCTTTGACTATCACATCAACCATATCTGCAAGACTTCCTTCTTTAACCTCCGTAATATCTCCAAACTCCGGCCATTTCTCTCTCGTCCTGCAGCAGAGAGACTTGTCCATGCCTTTGTCTCCTCCAGGCTCAACTACTGTAACGCGCTTCTCATCGGGATCCCGGGCAAGAGCTTACAAAGGCTCCAACATGTCCAGAACAGCGCCGCCCGGGTCCTGATGAGAGTGCGTAAACATGAGCACATCACCCCCATCCTTCGCACTCTGCACTGGCTCCCCGTTCACCTCCACATTGAATTCAAAATCCTCCTTCACACCCATCACTGTCTGCACAGTGCAGCCCCCACCTACCTCACCGAACTCCTCACCCCACATACCTCAGCCAGAACCCGGTCAGGCCAACTGCACCGTCTGCGCCCGCCCAGGACTCGGCTCAAGACCATGGGTGACAGGGCCTTCGAGGCTGCTGCTCCCCGTCTGTGGAACGCCCTCCCCGACCACCTCAGGGCTCCACAGTCGGTGGATGCTTTTAAAATAGAACTCAAAACCTTCCTCTTTCGGAAAGCCTACCCGGACTAATTTTATCTGATTTTATCTGCTGACCGTTTTTTTTATACTGACTGTTTTTTATTGTTTTGCCCTGTTGCTTGGTTTTTACTGTTATTGTTGTCTTGTTGTGCACTTTGAGATTTGTTTTTAAATGTAAAGTGCGTTACAAATTAAATCTATCATTATTATTATTATTATTATTATTATTATCCTGAGGAAAGCTCCTGCACACAAAGCTGCTCCCCTGCATCAGATAGTCAGCGATGGGCCTCTAGACCTCGTGTGTATAGACTTCCTCTCCATGGAGCCAGACTCAAAAGGAATAAGTAATGTGTTGGTCATAACAGAGCATTTCACGAGGTACGCCCAAGACTTCCCTACCAAGAATCAAAAGGTCCAAGGTCCTCATCGAAAAGTACTTTGTCCATTACGGATTGCCTTCTCGTATCCATTCTGACCATTCTGACCACTTTGAATCTCAATTGATCAAAGAACTCCTGAAGATATTGGGCATAAGGAAGTCCCGAACGACCCCGTATCACTCCCAGGGTGATCCCCAGCCAGAACGCTTCAATCGGACCTTGTTGTCCATGCTGGTCACTTTGAACCAGGAGAAGAAAAGACAGTGGAGACAACATGTTGTGCACCTGGTGCATGCGTACAACAGCACCACAAACGATGCCACACGATACTCCCCGTATTTCCTTTTGTTCAGGCGAGAAGCCAGACTTCCTGTTGATATGTGCTTTGGCACCCAGCCTTAAGACAAAGTTGAGCATCAACATTCGTCCTATGTCACTAGGCTAAAGCAAGACTTGCAGATAGCCTATCAGCTGGCCAAAGAAGCCTCAAACAAGTTACACATGCGCAACAAGAAAGCCTATGACAAGAGAGTCAGATGTCAAAATCTAGAGCCTGGTGATCTGGTGTTGCTCAAAAATCTGGCCTTTACTGGGAAAAACACAAGCTCCAGAACCACTGGTGTGATATTCCCAATTTAGTGACAGAGAAGATGCCAAACCTACCCGTTTACAAGTTGAAACCTGAGGACGGGAAGGGCAAGTCGAAAACCCTGCACCGAGACCATCTATTGCTTATTGGAGAGCTGGTGCAGATGCCCAAGTTGCACAAAGATGAAGATTTGCCCTCCAGGCCTAGAACTTGAGCACAAGTTCGGAGTAAGAGCAGTGTCTCTGATCACCCAGTGCAACAAGAATGTGAATATTCTGAGTCTGAACTGGAATACCCCCACCGTAGGTCCTACCACACTCACCTGGAAGAGATCTGGTCACGAAAGGAGAAGTCGCCTTCAATGAGTCACAGCCGACATGAAGTCCGGGTGGAAGCAAGTGACAGTCCTTCAGAGTCAGGGAGTTCCAGTTCCTCTGAGCCAGAGCCCCCTCCTCTTAGGGAACATACACATCATTCGATACCAGACACTGAATCAGAGCCTGAACCACTCTCAAGTGATTCAGATGATAGACGGCAGTCTAGTGGCACTAAAACTGGAGTCCCTCCTAGACAGATTAGACCTAAAAGATCACTTAGGCCAGTTATGAGACTTACCTATGATAAACCTGGCAAAGTCAGTGAGGAACCCCTTAGAATTATACATAGGGGAGTTGTGATTAAGATTGGGAAGAACTAAAGTAAGCTTGCTTACACGCCAATCTATTCCTTTAAGTTTTTCCAAGTTAATTGAGTCTGATGGGGACATCAGACATTTAGAAGGGGGAGCCTGTAGCCGGGTAACCCTGTTTATTATTTTGTGTTGATGAAAGGATCATTATTTGAAATGTAATAGTTTTGTTATTTTGGGATTTGTAAAAGAAGTTCTTATTTTGTGATGAGTACAGGTACATTGTATGGTGAAAAGAAATGGTTAAATTGTTTACCTAAGTCTACCTTTAAAAGCGTTTTATTTAGTTAAATTACTGTATTAATCTGTGATTTTTATTTTTATTATTTTCTGGGATTTATTTGTAGCGGGGATGTAGTTTGGTACCTGTAGTGGGAGAGCGAATAAGCAGTGAGAGAATGGGTCATGTGATCGGGAGCAGGAGAGAATGGTGTATTCCAGTTCCATGTACGCAAGGAGAGAGTGATAAGTGAAAGAATGAAAGGACGTTGAAAACAGGAGCATGACAAACGATTCGATATTGGACATTCTTATAGTTATCAGTGGTGAAATATCGCTGGTGTGCCTGTGAGAGAAGTCTGTGGAGCTGCAATATCAGTCAACAAGCCTTGGCAATGTTGTTTTGCAGTGAAGAGTAGTAGTTAGCTTGCTAAGCTAGCTGCGTCATTGGAAAAGACTGGAGTCAGCACTATCGCTAACAGGCTAGCTAGCCAGAGTTTGCCTGTAGTACAGTGTGTTGCTAACACAGCCAGCAGCTGTTTGAGTGGAAGGACGTGGACTTCGTGATCAGAGAGGATTACCAAGACTACTTTTGTTTTCCTGCAAGGGAACTGTGGATCAGTTTGGACAACTTTGTGCTCATTTGTTGGATCTGCGTGGAGCTTGGAACTTAATAACAAAAAGTTCGTCTGACTGTGGGTAAGCTTTTTCCATTGCCATGGACGCCATCTCGTGGACTACAATGGAACAGGCCTGCAACGTAGGGTGGGGTTGTGTTTTGCTTTGTTTTTCATTTAGATTCCGGCTTAGGATAAAAAACAAACTACAGTGCACTTTTGGTATCATCATATTTGAACTATTCAACCTGTGACGGCCTCCTGCCTGTGACGGCCTCCGGCCTCCAGGGTCTGCTGTTGTGTTCTTTTTTCTTTTCTCTCTCCCTGGCAGGTTGGTGAGTGGGCTTAGCCATACCTGCGTGGATCTGGCCATTCCACCAGGTGTTAAAAGCCCTCATTAAGGACCAGTGTCTCTCTCTCCCTCCTCCGCTACGCACCACGGCAGTGATCCTCGTGGCACAATGTTCTGTTTTAGTTTAGAAGTTCTGTTAGTTTAGTTCTTTTCTTGGGTAGTCAATAATTTAATTAATCTTGGTTGTTAATAAATCTTTCGTTTTAAGTTTAAACCCGTACGCCTCGCAATCTTTTTCATGGCCTTTGAGCCGGGTCATGACAAAATGGGGGCTCGTCCGTTTGTTGCGTTTTTCACCTCAGTAGGTGTTGATTCAGTCGATTTGTGAATGAACTTAGTAAGTTGTGAATTAGTGACGTCACCGCTCTTACTACTCAGAGGTTTCGGAACCCAGAGGTTGTGCTTTGTTGAACATGTTTGGCACTTTTGCGCGGGGTGATACAGGGTTTAAAAAATTGTTTCACGATTAAATAAATAAATAAATAAATAAATAAATAAATAATAATAATAATAATGATTTTGTTTGTAATAATTTGCCGTAGCTGCTATGTTGGTATTTTGTCGGTTTTGTTTTTGTTTGTTTGTTTTGAGCACCCTGATGAGTTTAGCCATCGGACAAGCAGGACTTGCCACTTTTTGTTTTAGTTTGTTTTTTTTTGTTGGCAAATCCTGAGGAGGGAGCGCGCAAGGCTCGAGATATCACGCTCTACCATGCCAATGGTCGGGGGTGTTATTTTGGGTCTGGTGACGTTTCGAGCTCGGCACGCCAGCGAAGACTAGGATGAGGTTCTAGTTAGATATGGGTTAGGTAGTTAGGGGTTCGGGGTGTCTCAACCTTTTTTTTGGTTTCGTAAGCAGCTCGGTAGGTATTTCTATGGTGTTGGATAACACTTGATGTGCGCGAGGTAGTTGGGTAAGTAAATTTCTAGCTTTGATTTGAACCGCGAGTGATTGAAATGTCGGATATTTCTGACTTCGTTGCGGCTCCTTCGAGCAAGTTGTTAAATAAATGCACCAAGGAACAGCTGCTAAAGATTGCAGACCATTTTGAAATAGAAATATCCGACAAGCGGTTAAAGGACATAATTAAAAGTATTTTAAAAGCAAATTTGGATGAGATGGGTGTTATGGCTACCGATCCTCCCGGTGCCGCTGATTCTCCATCTGTTGCAGCAACGAATTTTACCTTTGAGCAGCAAAAAGAAATGATGATGTTGCAATTAGAGCGTGATAAATTGAAACAAGTGGAAACAGATAAGCAGTTAGCTATTGAGAGGTTGTGATTTCAAACTGAGCAGACAAAACTCCAACTACAGCAGTATCAGATGGATTTAATTAAAAGTGGTAGGTT